ACATTTCTGACTGTATATCCCTGTAATTATTACACACTGTAGCTTTAAATGCATCAAAGTACAAGAAGCAACAATGCTGCATGTTAAGTTGTCTTCAAACATTCAAACAGCAGGTCTGTTAGTCCAATTCTGATGCGATGAGATGACACCTTTCTTCAGAGTAACAAGGACAAAGTGTTACAGGTTGAGTAAAGTATTTTGCTTATAAATATAGCATTACTGGATGGATTTAAGGATAGGCAAACAAAGTTAACTATAAAAAGCTTGGTAGAGCTGGGTTATCATTGCAGAGACTTATGACGTTTTAATAATAAAAACTATTATTTAGTTTGTTTTTAATTTCCTTTAATTATAAAGATTATATATATATCCTTAACAAAAAACACTCTACACCTCCTGAGGAGGATGATTTTAGACCCAGGTCTGAGATGTTAAAATACACACATGCACTGCACACGAGTAGTCCTATTGGACTTAATAGTTCTGGTACTGTACCCATAAGCTCTTCCTCTGCATCATCATCTGCAGGTTCTGGCTGAGAGCATTCTGAACAACGAAAACCAATGGATGAGGATATGACACGACAGCCTGGGCGTTTTACTGAAAACTGTTTACACCATAAATGCACCAAGAAATCCCTTAAGTCTGCTGTGTTTTCCAATCAGTGAACACACCATAATGAGAGCAAACAGGACGCATCGCCAACACTCTTCATTGTCATTACAATGACTGATTGAAGACAGTTGGTTGACCATGGAGCTACTAGACGTCCTTTTTAAAATAATCCTCTATTCTCAGTGACATTTAAAGGCACATTTTAAATTCATTAAAGTGTGAGAGCAAGAATTTCAGTAGAAAACGTGAAGGCTGAATATTTGAATGCTTCTGTTTTATTACTTTGATCTGTATCTATGAAACATCTGAATACTTGTGAATACTTGACAGCTGTTTTTTTTGCCACTTAGCCACAAACAAGATGCTGAACAAAGTTAAAAATGTAAACTTTCAGTTTATTTTAANTGAATACTTGACAGCTGTTTTTTTTGCCACTTAGCCACAAACAAGATGCTGAACAAAGTTAAAAATGTAAACTTTCAGTTTATTTTAATTTTGATGAGTCTGGCAGCAGCTGATCTCTTATAGACCTGTTGAAAATGTAAAAATGTTACTTTATTTCTTCTTTCGCTGACTCAATATTAACCAATAGTCTAGGTTTTGTTGATAATGAAGGTATTTATTTTCTCTTTGCTCACCTGTGGGCGAACAGTATCCAGATGTAGTGGTTTTGGCCTTTGGCTCGTTGAGTTTTGATACGCTATTTGCTCTCATCTTTGACGTCAGACGGTTTTCTGTGGGTGTTGAGGAGCGCAGGCCGAGACGTAGAGCGGTCTCGGCGGACAGGCGGGTCGAAGAGGAGGAGGGCCGGCTTACTGTGCACTCTGAGTCACTGCGCGCTGAGATGGAGCCCAGACGGTTCCTCCGCGGCTGAGCCAGCATGTCCAGCCGTGACAACCCCTTCCGACCGGTTGGTGGCTTCGAGGTGGAGCTTGTTGTGGACACCTCTGAGGCTACAGAAACACGGTCTGCGTCGGCCAGGTCTGTGTCAGACGTATCACCCAGACGGGCCCGGCGGAGTAGGGAGGCTCTGGTGGGCCGTGGTTGAGGCAGAGAGGCCTGTTTATTTAGTGAAGAGGCTGTTGCTGCCTGAAGATTTCGGTTGCTTTTAGAGGCGCTGCTCATGCTCGTTTTGGAAGATCTGCCATCAAGTTTGGAATTGAGGACATCCTCTGAGCCTCGTCTATGCACCGAGTTCCCCAAAGGCCCAGAATAGGTTTCCTGGTCTGAAGAAAGAATGTCTGAGATGGGGAAGGAAGAGGTCTGGTCATCATCAGTGAGATCCAGAGAAGGCTGGCGCCCTCTAGAGGTGGGCTGCGAGGAGCGACGTGTCTCATTCCGGGTTGTTGCTTCAGCCGTTTTGCCTTTAGCCTTCCTCTCCAAGCGTTCCCGAGCACTAGAGTTTCCAGAGGTTGTCTTAGAGGCTGTGCTCATGTTGCTCTTTTCCCGATGCATGCTGCTAAAAGACTTTCGCTTTTGCATGCTGCCAGTTGCAGTCTTTCCCCCTGCTTCTGCAGCAGCGTGACTAGCTGTGCTTGTTGTGTCCACATCTGACTCAGGAGATATAGAGCCAGTCCGAGCAGGAAGGCATTGGCCAGTACCTAGAGGAGTTTTACCACTTTTTTGGTCTAGTTTGTTCTCATCTCTGAGCTTAGCCTCCAGAAATGCCATGACAGCCTCTGTGTCTTTAAGTAGAGTTGCTGTATCCATACTGCCCACAGAGTCACTGCGTTCACGCCCATTGTTGCCTTTGTTGATCCGAGGGATGAGCTCTGGAGGGACACTAGAACTGGGCTTCTCTATGGTAAAGCTACCCTGGCGGACAAGAAGCTTCCCGGATTTCTCTCCTCCTTCTCCTGCTTCTCTCTCATTCCTCTCCTCTGACTTCTTCCTCCTTTCGCTGGTCCGGATAGGACCTTTAGATGGAGAGGAAGTGGTGGAGCTTTGTTTCAGCTTGTTGGTCATTCCTACACCCTCCATGGGGGTTGGGGACTCTCCGTCTCCCTTGTTCTCTTTTTCCTGGGGTTCCGTGTCTTGTTTCTCCCCTATCTCAGACCTCAGTGCTTTGGGACTGGATTTAGCCCGGGGGTCATCCACTGGGAGCTGGGGGAGGGTCCTGCGCTTACGGTCAGTCAGGCTGGAAGAGGGTTCACCTTTGTCCAGGGGAGGGGCTGTAGACTCAAAGGCATCAGCTCCTAAGCAAGAAAGACAAACCAAACTCAACATATGATTTGATACTGTCTCACAATGTATGTACATTTTTAAAGTATTATTCAAGCATTGTTCTCATGGGTTTGAAAAAAACATACCTCTTTCTTTGTGCAGGAATGTTGCTGCTTCTGCACCAGAGCCTTCTGGGTCTGTCCTGGCTTGATTAGCAGCTAAACTGGCCCACTGAGAGACCCAGCTAGGGTCACCAAGAGCCTGAGGCAACATAAAGAATAAAGATAAACAAAAATAATCCAAATTATAATTACACTCATCATGGACATGGATGTCATCGTAATTAGGGGCTTTTTATGATGTTTGACATAATCCTATTACAATGTTCCTTCTCAGGGGGATAATAATAACAGGATTTTTTTAATTAGGTGCAAACGTTACATTTTATAGGGTTTTAGTTATCTAAACAGGTTAAAAACTATACGTGCATCATCCTCCACAAGAATCTGCAGAAAAAACTCATCCCTTTCACAGCCACAAACAATTTAGATCAGTATTATTGAGCTACTCCTCTTATCAGCAATTGTAAAGCTAATTTAAATAGATCGTTTTGCTCCCAAGGGCTCAGCTTTTAGCCATTAGTTGTCAATAAGGTTTAGATCGATGCCATTTCACAGACCCAACTCTTATCCTGCTTTATTCGTTCCATATCAGCTTTTTTATGTGTTTGGGTTCATTGTCTATATCCCAGTTAGCGTTATTGAAAATGAAGTGGCAAATCGTCTGACATAATGTCAGAGCAAAACACCCTGTCTTTAGATGATAGTTTACTGGAAATGACAAGTGTTTTAAATATTCCACTCTATTCTACTATTCTATATACTAAACCTAAAGGTTCTTGTTTTTAAATATCTTATAGTTACGTCCAGTTATAAAAATGAGTTAGAAAAAGATTTTATGTTTGTTCAGTCAATATTTAATACAGATGGCACCATACATTTCTAAAATATAATTATGAACTTTATTTGCTATTTTATTCAGCAACTTGTAAAACATATTTAGCCCTTTATGTTCTGGAATGATCCTCCTGATACCAGAGAAAACTCAGGTTTTTAAGCAAATGGCCTCCTATCAATTAATCATTAGTTGCTCAATAATATTCGTCATTTTCAGATACATTTATTAAATAATAATTAACATATCTTCTTGAGACTTTTGTCACTTAAAGATAATTTGCACAAAAGACTGCAATAGCATCAAATCCATTTTTCTTTTAATAATATAATAATTTTATCCTTAAAACAAATGTTCTTCAATACTAGCATGGTATTTATGATCATAATGAGTCTATGAACCTATAACTGGCTTATTTATTACACTGGAAATAATGCATTTAAATTGAAAACTGAAATAAAGTTTCCAGATTCTATGACGTGTGTGTATCACTTGGAAAGAAAATAATCTAGATGCCATAAAAGACCAATCAAACAGACATTTAGGATTTCAGTGCAGAAAGATGCTAAACTCCCCCCATGAAGATGCCTGCAGGGCTGAATGTGTCTCCTCATCCAAATGTGATCTAGGTCATTCACTGCGGGAAACCCCTCCTCCCATCTTACAGCCTGGTGGGGTAAAGTAGTCGTGTCGCAGGAGTAACAGCCTTTCATTACTACACTTTGTCTACATTTTCTACAAAAACTACAGACCAAAATTCCTTCAGGGAGATTTCTGAAGCCCAAAAAAGTTTTTTACCTGTTTCCCAATTTCGCCTGAATCCTTTCCTTTCAAGTCAGACAGAAGGGAGGCACTCGTATTGTCCTGAACCCCGAACACCTAAAACAGTAAAAATAAACTTCTGTGAATCAAGAAAAACAGGCAGAATATAATTTGGTAGTTCATTCAAACAATGCATAACCATGTATGACCGATGCACAGTGGACATACAATACAGACATTAAATAAAGTCTCTCTCAGATCAAGGAAGAAAAAAACAGAACAAGTTGTTTATTCAAAGCGCTCATCTCCAGTTTACAGATTATGTAAATGAACCAAACAGAAGCAACAACAAGCAGTTTATAAATGGGAGAGGGAGAGTGGACAGCTGTGAGCGGTGTGCCAATTAGTGTGTCAGCTAATTACTGGAATTAGCATAACAACACTTCCTGTTTAGAACCTAACACATACAGACTCACACTAATTATATAGCAGTTTGCCTGTGTTAAATATTAGCAAGGAATTGTGACATTATTTTCTTTATTTATTCTAAGAGTGCAAAAAGGAATCAGATGAATGAACCATAGCTAAGTAATAACAATAGGAGTAAAAACAAAGCCTTTGATATGTATGCTGCTACTGAAGGAAGAAGGCTACATTATACATCAGCCGTGGTTAGAGATGGTTTAAAAGTCAAGAGAAAAGGTTAAAGACATTTTGTTTTCTACAATATATCTAGATTAGTCTATCTTTCAGGTTGAGAGGGAAGAAGAGAGCCAGATATTTAGCAGATAACAGGAAGCCATACAGGAGTTAATTAAAGTTGCTCTCTTTTATGTTTTTATTAATTTCAACTTCTGTCTTACATAAAACTTGCAACACTTTAAAAAAGGAGCCATATACGTGCGTGTATTTGTTGATTCACTAGCGCATTCGGCTGTCATGCCTTGAGATCATGTGAAGTTTAGTCCTTGTAGCTCCCTTCACTTGCAATCAATTATTAACACATTTTGTTTAATCTGTTAATAAATTCTTACTTTTCATGTAACTTTAAAGCTGTGTATAATTTTTTTAGCAGATTGTTATTTCTATCATGTAATTAAAATAAGAAAAAAGCACTATTGGCTTTAACAATTGCTTGAAAAGTACTGCCAGCAGATGGAAACCAAGAATGATGGAAAACTTCTTTCCAGAGTCAAAACAGACTATGTAAACATGTATTATTAGTCTTAGTCACATTTTAGTCATTAAGATATGTGATAGTTTTAATCAGTTTTAGTTGACTAAAACTTAAAAAGGTTTTAGTCAGTTCTATGTTGCAAAAAAAGTGAACCTTTACAATTTCGAATGACAACCAGATTCTTTCCCAGACTAACAGCACTTACCTAGATACTACAATTGCTGAGTGTAGATGTTGCCGTGCAGTTTATCATTGGTGTTGGGCAGAAAACTTTGATTTGTAGAATTTAAATAAAATTATTTAATGAATTAATGCCCTACTTTATACAAAAGTGTCTCACAAAAGTTTTGAAAATAGCAGATCTAGTTCAACACATATTTGTTAATAAAGCAGACAGACAAGCTAATATAATGTACAATAAAAGAATGGTTTTAGACATACAAGGTTTCCATCAAAAGCAAACACTTCCTGATCTACTATGAATTATGCATTACACACAGATCAATAAAATCTTCATTTCTCAAAAAAGCAAAGAAAAAACATTCTTCTTTCTACTTTGGCAATTTTGGCTTTATTTCTT